AACGTCAGGGACTTCAATACGTACAGGAACGCTGCTGCTTTCAATCGATCTTTGCGATTTCCAAGAAGCAGTGAGAGCTGTTTAAGTGCAATCCAAACGTGTTTGTATATCTTCAAGAAGCTGTGGGTAGCTACAACTGAGAGCATTAGATGGCATTTAGAATCAACTTATTGAGCACTAACTCTATTCAGATGAAGTCCAACGAACTGCGATAATTTTCGAATTGATGAAGTGCTCGTTTGTCAGTGCGCTGTCTACCTCCAGCAAAACTCTTCATCTTGATGGAGCCGCAAAGAATACGCCCAGCTTATTCAGAAACGTGGTTGCAAACTTCCTCCATCTCAAAGATGTGTCATCTGCTTTAGCAAAAGCGTTCGATAAAGCGCGATCTTGTGAGCCACGCAGTGTATCCAAATCCTCCGGAATAATGCCCGGAGTCTCTTGGAGCAGTTCTTCCAAAGCTGGCTTTACGAGATTCTGAAACTTTAGCATTGAATATACCGCGCAGACCTCCTTCCGCGTTCATGGCTGGAGCTCCATTTGTAACCACTGCTAATTGAACGCATACTCATCAAGAAGATTTTCTCTTGCGAAAAAGGCATGAATTGTTTCAAAGATATATCTTCCAGTTTTAGCTTCAACCATCTCTATCGCTTCCAGAAAGTGAGTTGCTGGTGTAGCGACATTCGATTAGGGAAGCGAACAAAAAGAGGAAGATTTGCCTGCTCCTTGGGTCTGTCGAGGTGTCAGCCAGCAAAGAAAATGGAGGCTGATTATTACGAAGATAATCAATCAATGTCTTCTTCATACTCTTGCTAATAAAAGCTGTCATTTTCACGAAACCATCACGAATGTGTTGTTTTTTCCCAATTTCCAGTCCCATTTTTAAAAAAGTTTCATAAAGTGTTGGGAACTGGTATGGAGGTAGATACATTTTTGCTGCTGTATAAGCCAGAATAAAAAAACGGCTTCCCGAAGCTCCAGGATCTGTGGGAGCCCATTCGATGGCTTCGAGGTGTTTATTCACTCGCTCACTAGTTTTCTCTCTGTACTCTGCCAAATTGTGTATCCTTTGGTTGACTCCTATGTGCTTCCTTAACTGTATCTAGCTTCAGTGTATAATCAGTTTCACCCTCCTGGGAAATTCCAGAAGAAGGGGCGGGGGGCTTCTCTACTCGCATAATACTCTTAGCACAGCTCACATCGGACTTTCAGCACGCGTTTCGCATTCCTCCATTCCTTAAACATTGGTGTGAGTACTTGAAATTGGAATTTTTAGGGCATTCAGAAGTGTTTTCCCTCAGCACCATCAAAATTCTTCGAGTTCACCAACTTATCGTAGTCACGGTGGAGGAAATTGATCCTTCTTTTTGCCTCGTAATCAGTCATAGGTCTCCTAGCTTCATTTTTAGCATCCTGATGATAACGCTTCTTATTGCTTACTGTCTTTTGGAAGAGGTATTGAACTTAGACCATCAAATTTCTTTTCTCCTGATACGAAAAAGAAGAATATAATGTTGGCTCTTGAACAGGTAATACTTC